ATTGCTTCCAATGAGCTCTCGGAAGTCGTCGCCCGTGCATGGTTGAAAGACTTTTGAAAGCGTGTAAAGAGGAGGGGGTGTAAGATGAAAGGCTCTGGTTGTTAACAATTGAATTAAGTTACACATGAAGAATGCATACAAAAAAAAATTGAAAATTATTACACAATCCAGTGAAGGTCTCATGAAAGCATCCTCATAAAAACCACTCATTATGTTGAATTGACGAGTAAAAAAAGAGGGAAAAAAATTAAAATACTTTACAAATTCCACAGTAAATTTTATGGTCGCGTATTGCTTATTACAGTATTAAATAAAATAATTAACTTGCTTTTGATTTTATAAAATAACAAAAGTGTCCGCTCAACATATCTCGTATAATGCAAAGGTTTAAATTTAGAATGGGTAACCAGACGGCCATAGCCTGTAGACGTTTGTTGTTGTTGTTTTTTTTACTGATTTTACAATATGTTATCAAAAACTCAGATCTTTTCGAGAAAATCTTTTTTTGGTGTTTTAACTTGTAATTTTGAAGTCACGTGACTGAAACACTAGCTTCCACAACTTTTAAAGAAAAAAATTTTGCGTGTATTTTTGCTTAATTTTGAAGTCGTGATTGTCTGTCTTAGAGCAAAAGCCACTGTTGTGTCTACCCCGGGGAATCGAACCGCATATCTAAGTGTTGTAATTTTAAAACTTAATGCTGTCCCACCGGGGGACAATTCTGAAGTCACGTGCCGTATGTTCTAAAGATACTTTCTCCTTATAAAATTCATGGAAATCAAATTTATTGTTACCTGTATAAACTTTTGGGTGGCACATGGTTTAAAACCCAATTATATTAGCAGGATCTTTCTCATGGTGTAATAATTCTTGTCTGTACTATATGTAAGTTTAAACTGTACACTGAGATAATTGGAATATATAATTATGCTGTACTTTAGACTATATCTTACGGGTTTGTCATCAGTGACTCACTTCAAGGAAGGATCAGGAAATTTATATGGTAACTTGTACTGGTTCTGTAAAATAAATCTCAACTTGTGAGCAAGTTGTTAGATGAGTTGAACCCTCGACGACAAATGTTTGATTGAAATAATTCCTCCTTGCAAGGGAAAGGCAAAAGTCGGAAACTCATTTTACGTTGTGGCTGACGATAAACCTGTCAACGCCCGCGTTTCTTGCAAGTGAGGAGTCCGAAAGCCTCCTTACAAAAACAGCTGAAATCCGACAGTGTAGAATTTATTCCAACAAGAAGAAAAACGAAAAAATAATAATAAAAAGACCAGATTATAGAGTGCATAATGCTATATACAATGAAACAGATGGAATTTTTGATATCAAGCCCACTCATTGGTGTAGGAGTCTAATCTGGTTATACCCGGTTTTTGATTTTCAATACGTATTTTATACATACAGACAGTCAGGCTTTGAAATTTCGCATAAAAAAACACAACTAGATTGAATTCGTTACCAAAGGAATCCAGTTGGGGAAAAAAAAAACACTAAAATTCAAAGTAAAGCATTTAAATGAAATCCGGGTTAGTATTGCTGACATGTCAGAAATTACTTCATTTCCCAAAAAGAGTCAAATAAAGAAACTCAACAAATTCCAAGCATCTTTTCTCATACCACAGTTAAAGGAGTGTATATAGACAGAAACTCGTTGACGATGTTTATGAAGGTACTTTTTCACGTCTGACTACTGAAACGTCGCAAGATGAGTCACTTTAAGTGCTGGCTTTCTCTAGAGTTCCTGAGCCAGCATACCCTGCCAGAGAAGAAAGCTTTCGACTTACGTCTACGCTCGTGGGTAAGCAGCATTAAAACTGTCAATAAAGGAGGAAGGGCAAGATCAGTGATCAAAAGCCACTATCATAGTCAGCAATTCAAGTAGTATCTCAGTGAACTGCATACAAAAAAATTTATTGTTTTCATGAAAAAGTTATATATTATTTATATATAGCACCCTTTCTGGATAAAGTGTAAACGTCCACCATTTTGTTTCAGTTAATATCATTTAGTTGAAAATGGTGTCAAAAAAAAAGTCAATGTATAGAGGGATGAATCGTTATATTAAAACGATTATGAATATGCAAATCAGTAAGTCACATGATAGCCACAGCACATATAAAGTTGCGTTGGTGTCATGTATCATGTTGGCATTGGCGTTTGTAGGCAGTATGGTGTCATCAAAAAGTAAAAGTATCAAACAGACCTTTCCGAAGTAAAACATTCTTTCACTCAGATCATGAAGAAGTCTTCAGATCGGAACATAGATATTTCAATAAGAAGATATAAATTGCACTTGGTGGCACTGGAAAAAAAAGGAATATGGATAAACTTAGGGACCAAGGCCTATCCAGAAAGATAACTATACAAGTCGTACCCTAGCCATGGTAAGCAAATTGCGGCGTCCTTTAGCAGGTGAGATTCCACGAAACCAAAGATCGGTGGTAAAAGCTGTCCATATGCTCCAGGCAACAGTGTGAAAAATAATTCAGAAAGATCTCCCTATGAGGCCAAAAGAGTATGGGTTTATCAAAGTAATGATTCCAATCATACCTCACATTCAACAGTCGCATATTTCAAGTAGCTGGAGAATGAAACGGGTGTTCATGATACTCTATACGACGACATACCGGCCAAGTCGCAGGACGCAGTGCTTATTAATTTCTGTGCCATCGGACTGTTGAAACAGGCGCTGGAAAATTGTAGTCTTCGCATACAAGATGGATTATGGATAGCTGCAGGAAAGGATGAGGTACTATGGACATGGCAGAATTACAACGGAACCTTTTGCAATGGAAACTACTCTGTAAGGGTATTGTCAATATGCACAGTCATCCGATAGAGCACAACCGGAGGTGACAACATGGGCTGTAACGACAAAAAAAAAGGCTACAAAATCGTTTTAATATAACGTACTCAACCCTCTGTATTTCAATGCGATACTACGTGAATAGTAATTATGAAGTTGACTTTTTGGTCACTAATTTTGCAAGTCCTTCTTTATGTTCTTATTGTTTTGTGTGATATTTCCCAATAGGATGAACTTACACTGACGTTAGTAAAGAGAACAATATGTGTACATACGTACATTGAACTTATAAGTACGAATTAGTTCGATCAGATTCCATCGAAGTTTATGTATGCAAAAAATCTTATAGTTTCCTACCTACTTGTCCATCCAAACATCACCTTGACAATTTCCTGTCTCTCTGTCCAAAAATACACTCTGACAATTTCCTATCTATCATCCAAAAATAAAACTTGAAAATTTCTTATCTAGCTATTCAAATACTTACACAACCTGAAAGTTTCCTATCTATCTATCTATCCAAACATTCACACAACCTGATGGTTTCCTATCTATCTATCCATTCAAACGTAAAATTTGAATGTTTCCTATATCGCTACCCAAACATTCACACAACCAGATGGTTTCCTTTGTAGCTATCCAAACATTCACACAACCAGATGGTTTCCTTTGTAGCTATCCAAACATTCACACAACCTGATGGTGTCCTATATAGCTACCCAAACATTCAAACAACCAGATGGTTTCCTTTGTAACTATCTAAACATTCACACAACCTGATGGTTTCTTATATAGCTACCCAAACATTCAAACAACCAGATGGTTTCCTATATAGCTACCCAAACATTCAAACAACCAGATGGTTTCCTTTGTAGCTATCCAAACATTCACACAACCTGATGGTTTCCTATGTAGCTACCCAAACATTCAAACAACCAGATGGTTTCCTTTGTAGCTATCCAAACATTCACACAACCTGATGGTTTCCTATATAGCTACCCAAACATTCAAACAACCAGATGGTTTCCTTTGTAGCTATCCAAACATTCACACAACCTGATGGTTTCCTATATAGCTACCCAAACATTCAAACAACCAGATGGTTTCCTTTGTAGCTATCCAAA